ACAGACAAAGCTGCCCCCGTCCCAAGTGTAATGGGCTATTCTACTTTGACACTTTGCATTACCCAGATTTATTTTACCACTGGAGTCCACTGGTTGTTCACTGCCAAGCAAACTGGCACAAAGTAGCCTAATAAGAACAAAACGTCACAGATACAAGACTAACATTACATCTCCCTTGTCTGATATTGTCTCGTTAGAGTGGTAGACAACTTGTGAACAGAGAGAAGAATTCTAGACTAACCCTATCAAACTAGGGAATGATTTCATTTCTTGAATTTGACCGATCAACCGTCCGTGTGATGCCCCCCTCCTCCCACTGGCAAATTTCCCTGACAGCATTCCCCCACCCCCGATTGGTAAGTTTTACCTCTGGCATCCTGAGCTTCGATAAGAATATTATTGATGTGCCATTGTATTTAATTCCCTCTCATTTCACTATCGGCTTCCCCCTCACTTTGGGGGTCCCCTCCCCATATCAGCCTAGGGCCCCCAGAGACATCACTTCGCCCCTGTTTAAAAACAGCCTATATTGTTGTTTTTTTTTCCTCAATCAGAACATTTAGCCACGGACATGTTTGGTTGATGATCCCTGTAAATAACACAGCTTTGACCAGTGATTAAGCAAACAATTTCAATCTATTTATATAGAACATTTTCATAATAGGGGTGGCATGGATGGTGCAGTGGTTAGCACTGTTGCCTTGGATCAGGGTTCAAGCCTCCGCATGTTCTCCATGTGCTGTAGTGGGGTTTCTTCCAGGTACTCTGTTACCCCCCCAAAGTGCAAAAACATGCTGAAGTTAATTGCAGTCACCAAATTGCCCATGGGTGTGTATGTGTGAGTGTGCCCTGTGATGGGTCGGCGCCCCATTCTAGATTGTCCCTTGCCTTGCTTTTGTAGGCTCTCGACCCCCATTTACAGAAATTCAATGGATTATCCTAATATTGCACTTCCTGAAAGTCCTTTGCATTGTCCCTGCCCAAAGCCCCCAGTGAGCATGATAGTGGCAAGGAAAAACTCCCCAGTAAGAAGAAACCTTGGGAGGAAGGAGACTCCAAAGGGGAGCCCAATCTCCTGTGGCTGGCAAAGGAAGTCCAAAATAGCAAAGTCCAATTTTGTACAGTAACATTGTATATAGTCCAGGTATAAATGCAGAAGATACAGATATCAGGACAGGCAGGTGAAGAAGCTGCTTCCTTCGGCGGGATTGAGGGGTGGTGTGGTCCATCAGAAGATATGTAATTGTGTCAAGTTAAATAACGTACAGTAATAATAGAAATAAAATAATTCCAGTAAGAAAATAAAATAATAGGGATCATGCAGGTAACGCTGCATGGACCCCTAATAATTAGAGTGATTATTATGACATAATTCCGTGGCTGTGTAAAACAGATTTGCGTACTTAATTTAGTTTTGTACACCCGTGCAGAAATTACAAATGCACAAATTCAATATACGACTACAAAACGGGATTACAGGTTCACAAACTCACTATACGTGCGCTCAGAATGCTGGCATTTCCGGCAGCCTTGTCATGAGCACAGTTTTGTAAAGATACCAGACAGGGAGCAGCAAGTGGGCGGGATCTGTGCGCCTCGACTAATGACAGCCAGTGAAAAACCGTTTTACTTTTGTTTTCTATCTTATTGGCTGGATTCGCTTGACTTTCAAAATGCTGCTCCATTCACACGCCTTCAGGACGGGAAGAAATCTAAATACAGCGTTTCCTTCCGTTTGAGTGCTTGTCACGCCGATTCGTAGTTGTAACCTGGCTTCTTATAACATGTATAGATTACAAGTTACAGATCCGTGACTCTGAAAACACAAAGGTGCATAACTTTTTACGTAAAGACAAACTCTGCTGCACGGGTGTACAAAATTAAAGTACAAGTGCGCAAATCTATGTTACACAACCATGGAATTCGGTCATAATAATCTCTCCATAAATAGTAGGACCTTTCTGTAAACAATCTCTGACCATGAAATAGGTAGGCAATTAACTTACAGCTCAGCAGCGGAATCGATATTTTTTCACACCGCTTGAATGTGACGTTTCCCTTGAGTTCCACGTGTTTGCTGTTTGTGAGCGTATCCGCAGTCGCCTTGGGCCACTTCTGATTGGTGAGCATGACTGGCATGCAAGAGCACGGCACTTCTAATTGGTCAGAATGACTGTCACACTTGGAGGACGGCATGGATTTGTATAATACAACTGTTCTCACAATAGTTATAAACCCGGGGTGAGATGTGCTGTATAGTGCATATCCTAAATAGTAGCCTTTGCGATTTGCTAAGCATGTTTTTAAAAATCGCCCTAGCTATGACCCTTGGGAAAGTCTGTGAAGTTGTTTTTCAAGTAGGTGGCCCCATTTACTTGTTTTATTGAGACGATATTGGGACAGGCGTTAGGAGGGTGAAGGTCCGATTAGGGAGAGACTGCAGGACAGCCTATTACCCTCCCTGTCCCTGGGAGAGTTTGATAAGCAGAATATAC